TGTCACTGCTCTTGACCATACTTGTTGATATAACAGTCTTTACAAGGTTTTTTTGTCGAGAGGTATCAGTGATGATAAAAACACTTAAAAATGCTGGTATTGGGATTTTTTTTTTTTTCCCATTATAGTAGCTGAAGTACATATAATGCCTTGGTATAAGTTACCAGCAAAACCTTGATCATTATAATTGATTTTTTTCCTCTTTCTTCTTTTCAGGCAACAGTTCTGACCATGGCGTGTGTAACTCTAAAAAGGTCCTTAGAATTTGATCCCCTTCACCACGGTACATGTACCCCTCGGCCCCACAAGAGGCGGCGTTGTGTGCCCATGTGTGTGTCGCCTCAGAGTGCTGCAGCTGCTTCTGCTCGCCACACAGAGCCACAGTCACCTTTCTCTGAGGTCACACCCACTCTTACTGCAGGTATAGTAACACTGGAGGAAAGGTTTCGATTAAAAATAGTTTGAGAATGAAGGTTGCTCTAATTATTCACATATATATATATATATATATATATATATATATATATATATATATATATATATATATATATATATATATATATATGTACATACATACACACATGTATATACATACATATACAGTGTACTCCTGCTCCCAATAACATGACAGTCTATGATGCCTAGAAATTTCTAAGGGTTAATCTGTACTGTGCATATGTGTATTTTTTGTATAAAACTTTTACTTTGACTTTTTATTTACATAATATTTACTTTAGCATTCTTCATAATCTTAATTTGTTCCTACAATGGCAAAGTTTTTTTCCCCAGCCATTCTTAATACCAGACAGGTGTAATTCATACGTAGTTTTTTTTTTTCCCCAGAGCAAATTGCACAAAATGTGCGTGAAGAGATCCGGAGGTTAAAGCGACGGAAGATGCTGCAGTCTGGAGAGCGCAGCATGGAGTGCGAAGGAGGCTACGAGTCCCCGGCTTCCCCTCCATCTCCAGCATCCCCGGCGTCCCCCTCGCTCTCACCGTCTCCATCTCCAGCACCGTCATCAAGTACTGGGTTGGGCTCCCTCCACCACCACCACCACCAGCACTCCCATCATCCACATCATTCTTCTCTTGGAAAGGATAAGCCTCTCTTCACTTTCAGACAGGTATGGAGGAATTAATGCTCTAAAAGATTTTTTAAAAATTCTCGGCATTTAATCTTTTTTCTCTTGATTATTGCATAAAGGTGGTGAGTAGAGAATTCTATAGTTAAATTTTAGTGGTGACTGCTGTTTTCTTTACTGGGAGATTTGGATAAATAGAATCTCTACTTTTGCATACACATCACTTGCTAGATCTCTGAGGAAAAGTACCCCAAAGAAAGGGGGAGGAGTAAAAGAAATTAATATGTAATATGTAATCTGATGACTTTGTCCCATGAAAGAAATGCCAGACAAACCATATATAGTTTGGAAGCTCAGTGGAGTGAATCTTAAATTTTCTTTTTAGTTTTATATAGAAAGTTAATTGAAAATACAATTCAGTCTATACAATTTTCTAATCTACAAAGAATGCTTATTTATTTATTTATTTATTTTTATTTTATTTTTTATTTTTTTTTACTATGTACTATGGTTTCCATACAGTAAATGGATAAATACTCTATATAGGCCTAAAATATGCATAAAAATAGGCAAAATAGAAATAATAATTTCAAGCAGTCTAAATGCTGTTGCACATATTACTGTTTCAATTATCCATCATTGATTGCATTTCAAATTTAATACTTTTTGCCAGCAGCATACTGTTGAACCTGACAACTGAATATTAGATCTCAAAACATTCTAGGGAGGACTGTAATGCATAGCTCTAGGTTGTCATTTTACTTTTGTTTTCAAAAAAAAAAGTCATACATAGATTACTTGTTACTTGGCTTGAAATCAATGTAGAGGTGATTTTTGAAATTGGGAAGTAATTGTAATTGGACTTTAAATTGTCTGTACATATGTCTTGTTTGAAACTTTTTGATAAAATGCCTTTTCCTCTCTCTGGAGGGAGGGTATTGGTGTCCTGTAAATATTGTTTTGTAAAGAGGCTATATTAATTCATACATAACACAATCACCTTGTAAGGTAATGGACTTGCCTGCCCAACATTTAAGTTGTTAGTTTGATATTTTTTGTTAATTTAATGATGTTTGTGTTTTATAATCTGGGGACTGATATATATATATATACAATAGAGGAATAAACTCCAGTCATTCAGCACTAGCTGAAGATCATTAATGTCATATGGTTAGCTTATTTGCTTATTTTTATTTTTTATCTTTTGTATGTTCTTATTCAGCTATAAGTAAGTGTATGGAAGATGGGCCCAGTGGTAAGGTACCAGCTAAATTAATGACTAGGTTTAAACAAACCAGGAGTGCCTTACAACTATTGCAGTTAATAGTTTAGACAGTTAATAGTTTAGACAATGGGTATTTATGAGGGAAAAAAATGTACTGTTAACCCATTTATCAAGGTGTAGAAAAGTAAGGTCGGCTCATTTCAACTCTCAAAGTAGTCCAACCCACACAGGTCCCCCTGGGTAAGGGATTCAGGTCTCCCTAGGGCATCATTCTCACCTAATCCCATGTTGCAGCAACATCTGTGCTTGTTCCCATAAAGTTAAATGAGTGATGTTTTTGTGTAATGTCCTTTTATTAACCCTGCACGGACGGTGCCAGAAATTTCAATGTGTTACTCATTCTGGTGACTTATGGCAACTGTCTAGCCTTGCTGCTGGTGTTTCACTGTGTACAGCAGCCCTTCCCACTCAACCTGCTTGGGCGAGTCCTGATGCCTATAGCCGTACCTGTCGTGATTAGTTGCTTTTTCATGGCGGCTATAGGCTTGCTCAGCCATAAGAGGGTAAATGCTGTTTGTATGTTGGCAACAAGCAAAAATCCTTGTAGGTGTACCTGGTGCAAATTGCCCATGTCAGCAAATTACCCCTTGGCACTTATGCCCCTGCTACACCAAGAAATAACCTGATGTGGGCTCTAACAGTTGTATGGTAGCTCCCTCATTCATCTATGAATGCTATAAGCTAATTCCAAACGACCCCTCTATTCTTGAGGCTGTGGTTGATGAAAGAGATGGAATGATTATTAGAAATGAAAATATTATGCTCAGAGAATAAAGATACTAATTATGAAATATGAAATGCCACATTGCACTGTTTAGAATGAGGATTTTGAAACCCCTGTTAAAATTTATTTATTCTATATTTTTATTTATTATGTTGTTTTTTTCATATTATTATTACTATTATTATTATTATTTCACTGCTCATTATTCCACAGGTGAATCTCATCTGTGAACAACTTCTGCGAGAACGAGAGGTGAAGATCCGTGAGGAGTATGACAAGGTATTGGCTTCCAAATTGGCCGAACAATATGATTGTTTTGTACGTTTTACTACAGACCAGATCCAACAGAGGCTCTCTCAGGCTGCCCTACCGAGCTGTAAGTCTAATTGCCTTGTGTTCTCTTTTTTTGTCTTTATGGTATATATTATTGTTATTTGGATTGTACTTTAGCCTTTCTTGTTTTGAAATTTAAGTATGTACCTAATCACACTTTTTTTTTTTCTTTCTTTTCCAGATCTTTCATAAGGAAGAGAGAAATGTTTGATGTGGACTATTGTGCCTTGGAAGGTACAAAGGTGGAAGTGGCATGGTTGTTAATACCCAAAAGTGTTAACATTGTACATAGAAAATTACCAGGAAGAGAGATGTGTTCAAGAGTGTATTTCGTGGTTACTGGCTGAGATGGATATAGAACAAATATATGATGGTTAAAGCCAAGTGATAAAAGTTTGGCAGTGTCAGGTTTCATACTTTGTATATCCATATCAATCAAGACTTGGTCAGTCCAAGATGAAGTCACCTGCATAACGGAAAGAAAAATTAGGGGGACTTAAATGAAGAGTGGCAGCTTGGGTGACAAGTGTAAGGTAACTTCTGGTGCTCATTGTGTGTGGCATTCCTCAACCATAGTGTGTACATACCCTCTTAACTTGCCTCTCTGTGTGTGGCAGTCCTCAAACACTGAGAATGCATGTGTGCATGCATGAATAAGTGTATGAATGCTTGAGTAAATGTGTGACTTTGAGTGTGTGTCTGTATGGTTGTGTTTGTGTACGTGTGTGGGTGTGTGTACATATTCTTAAATTTGCCTCTCACTTCAATAATGCAAGTGGGAGACATAAAAATGAATAAAAAAAACTTCTAACTTGCCTTTTTGACTTATGATGCAAGTAGGTATGATGATATTTTTAACTTGCCTTCCTCACTTTTATGCTAGTGGGGATGATGTAACCTCATAAAATGCAGTCCTATGTAGTTTATGCTCTTGAGTGAATGGTAATTACTTGTGTGTCATCATGAGAGATGAAGTGAAACTAGGAAAAGAATGAATGGGTTACTTCAGGTATATCAAGAGTTTGAATTACTGGGCTGAATCTTGTTAGGGGTTGTGCTGTATATTTCAAAAGAAATTGTCAAGGGTGATATAACCTTAATAATAGATCAGTTATCTCATGTCTGACAATGAATGCCATTTTGATGCAATTTTCACCATGGGAAGACATCCAGAACTCGTATACATTTTAAAGTCATTTGCAGTTTTAGATATCAGTAAGTAATCAAAGCAGTTGTAGTGAATACAATACCTATTTCTGTTTCGGTAAAGTAATATTTTCAGGCAGTTGGTGTCTTCCTGTGGTAAGTGTCACAATGGAGGTACTCTTATAAAAGAGCTCTGGTATTAACCCACCATACAAGCCCATGTCTCACCTATACTGTTTCACTAGAGATCTGTTGTATTATACTTGACCTAGGCATATGATAGGCTTATCATTTTTCTGTTATACTGTTTACAGATCAAGAGTTGTAGCTCATTCTTTTTGTTGTTTTTTTTGTTTATTAGATCTTACTAAATGCAGCAGCCTATGAAGTTTTTATCAGAGGCTAAGTTAGAGCTTACCATTCTGTCTAAACATCAGTACTAAGCAGAGTTATTAGATGCAGTAATGTTATTTATGAAATTGATAGCATTTTTTTCTTTCTTTTCTTTTTTCTTCTTTCTTTTTTTTTTCCTTTTTTTTTCTCTTTTTTTCTTTTTTCTTTTTTCTTTTTTCTTTGTTTTCTTTTTTTCTTTTTACTGGAACCTCAAACTGTATATCATATGTATATTACGTATATACATATGATAAGTGAATTATTAAATCCTGACCTTTCTGTGATGGGATAGAAGATAAGAAGACCATTTACATTGGAATGTGATTTTTTTTTTGAAAGGGTAATGATATACTGATGACTAAAGAAACTCCTTCTATGTTCTAAGTTTGTGAATGTATATTGCTGAAGTTGTGCAGAAATTTTGGACAAGAAAATCTTTATTGGTTGTGTATTGTTTACTTGGCTTTGGTATGGTTGTGTTTACTATCAGTTGGCCAAAGATATTTTTTGTTCTTAATTATTGGACCTTGTATGACTTTGACCATAAACAAAAGATCACCATTGCATTTGTATCCAGACAGTGGGCATTAGCATTTCTGTAATACTTGACAAATATTATCAAGCTTTGAAATAGGCTAGGTTCTATTATCACTGTATGCAATAATGTTAGTATCTACTGAAGTCTGCAGTCATGTTTTTCTATTATGTTCTGTTGTTTGTGGTTCCATTGTGAATGTTCTATCATGGTATGATCTTTGATGGTCTGTCTATTTATGCTGTTGCCAGAGTGGATGCATCAGTTTTTGTTCAGTTCTAGTAAGGAATTGCCATTTATTTTAGTTTTATATATGGAGGTTTCCAGTTTTGTGTTAATGTATTTTTCACCATGCTTATATGGGCAGATGTTTACTGCTAGAGCTGTACTCAAACGGAATAATTTTGTAAAAACTATATCAAGAGTTTAACCCAACGCCCACGGGTATCAGAAATTTATGAGTGTGGTTAACTCCGTTGATTTCTGGCAACGTCCTGATGCTGGGCCCGGGAGTCCCCTACGTGTATCGGAACTTCACGCTCCACGCACTCTGGCATGTCGCAGCGCGTACAGCCATACCCTGCAGACCAAGCGGTATGTCTTAATGCCTGTACACGTGACCCATGGGGATGGGTTAGACGATAATAACTGGACTATGATAAATATGGGTTGTAGTGATTAATAATGCTACAGTTTGGACCAGTTGATCTTCAGGTGGTATGACGGGAAAGTGATTGGCCTCAGGCCGTCCCTATTATTATGTGTTGTGTCTGATGTGGGTCATGTGTACTTTTAGCCATAATAAGGTGTTAGGTTGAAAGGGTTACCTTCTGGTGTAGCCAGGAGAACTTGCATACAGTGAGATTTGAATGTAGTGCTAGATGACATGAACCTTGAGCTGACTGTTTCACTGTAACAAGTTATATCTAGTTTAGGCTAAGTTTTTATATAAAATCATGAGACTTATAGTTTCATGTCTTGTAGCCAGAGTACAGTCACACATTATATGTACTCTGTACTGCCTGAAATCTTATGTACATAGTATTGCCACACATCATGTGTACAGTGTACTGTTACATCCTGTATAAGGTTTACTGCCTCATATTGTATACATTATTTTGTCATATGTGTGCATTGCCATGTCTGTTGTCTTCATAAGTTTGTTGACAACTATGTACAGTTGTACATCAGATGTGAATGTATTTTGCTTCATATCAGACATGAACAGTGTATTGATGCCAACCACATATGTACAATGTAGCTTCATTCAAATGTGAACATTGCATTGCTGCATATCAAATATTAAAAGTATGCTGTTTCATATTGAATGTCCAGTGTACATCTGCACATCAAATGTTTACAGTATATTCTTACACATTGTGCTTATGAATGCAGTTCTTTTTTGTTCTATTTATTTTTTATTATTGTGATCCTGCACGGGTATGTGCAAGTCACTACATCATAATGTGTACTGCATTGATGCACATCAGAAGTTTATAATGTACTATTGCACATCAAATGTGCTCACTGTTCTGATGCACATCTTATGTACAGTGTACTGCAGTGTATTTATAGTTACTACTGCACACCTTGTATAAATTGTGCCACCACACATGTGGGTTATGTACTGATGTAGATATATGCAGTACAGATAAGTAAGCAGGACTTCTTGTTGCATATTCATTGTCAAGTATTGTTAAAGCAGTTAGTCTGCATTTATGTGTTGATCTTGGTGACTTGGGTGCTTGTCAGCAAGCAGTTAGTTATTAGCAGATTTTCTTTGTTTTACTGTTATCAGAATATGTTGCGCAGCAGACAACTACTCACCGCAGACAAATTTCAGATTCTTACGTAATGGTATTTTTATTGTTTTTTTGTTATTGAAAGCTGACCTTGACCTTAGATAAGAAGTAGATCACTTTATTTTTGCATTATATGTGTTTGAAATTTAATGTCCAGTTTTATTAAAGAGTGATCTAAGATTTTTTTTTATGAAGACTGA